TTTTTTTTTTGCCAAGGAAGATTGGCCCTGAGCTAACATCTGTGGCCATCTTCCTCTACTTTACATGGGACGCCGCCACAGCATGGTGTGACAAGCGGTGTGCACCCGGGATCCGAACCCTTGAACCCCGGGCCACCGAAGCGGAATGCGTGCACTTAACCGCTTGTGCCACTGGGCCGGCCCCAGGAATCTGACTTTTTAGTGACTAAATATTTTTAAAGTACTTTTATGTTCTAAGAATGGTGCTTGATGGTGTGGTTACAAAGATCAAACATGCCCCACCCCACTCAGACTCGTAAAAAATAAAACAAGATCAGGACTCTGTAATGACTGAGGATTCCCAGGCTGGTTCCTGGGATTGGGGAGAAAGGCCTCTAGGGAGTCCTGCTGGGTAATAGTAGTAGTACTGAGTACCCAGAACCAACTCCATGCAGCCCTTTTAGCTTCTGTTAGATTTCTGCCAGGCAAAGTGGGCTCTGTTCTCCGTGCTTCCACCCTTTGTCACATAAATGTGTGTCGATGAGCGTGCTAGCCTATGCATTTTACTATCAGTCACATCTTAGAGTCTTCAAGTATAGGATATTCCAAAGACTTTGTTTCACTACCATATTTATTTATTGTGAAAATATACTTAGTGTTGGCAAGAAAACTGTGTTTTTAAAACTTATTTGGAAATAATTTCAAATTTTCAGAAAGGTTACAAAATTTAAAGAACACTTTACCCTTTATCCAGATTCACGTGTTGTTAACATTTTATCCCATTTGTTACTCATTTGTGCAGTGCTCACTCACGTGTGCATATGTGCTCTCTCTCTATGTGTGTGTGTGTATTTTCACACTCGTAATTTTTTTTTGAATCATTTGAGTGTAAGTTACATACATCATGGCCCTTTATCCCTAAGTACTTTAGTGAGTATTTCCTAATATTTTCTTATATAACCGGAACAGTTATTGACTTTTGTAAATTTAACTTTGGTCTGACACTTTTACCTAATTTTCCATTTATATTCCAATTTTGTCAGTTGACCCAATACTATCCACTATGGTATTTTTCCCCTCCAGTATAGGATCCAGTCTCGGGTCAGATATTTAGTTGTCATGTCTCTTTAGCCTACTTTAATGTGGACCATTTCTGTAGTTTCTCTTTGTCTTCTATGACATTGACATTTTTGAAGAGTATAGCCCCTCACTTTTTTTAGAACATTCCTTGTTTTGGATTTGTCTGATGTTTTCTCATGATTAGATTTGGTTTATGCAGTCTTGGCCAGAATACTGCATGGGTGGTATGTTCTTCTCAGGGTATCACATCTGGAGGCACACTTTGTCCATCTGTGCTTTCTTGGCATTGTTCATTTTCATCACCCAGTCAAGATGTTGCCTGGTTTTCCCACTGTTTAATTATAATTCCTCTTGCAACTAATCAGCTTTAAGACTATGGAAATATCCTGCTCCTCATCAATTTCCCCCTAAACGTAACATTCATTGATAGTTCTTGTCTGATTCAATCTTTACTATTATGACTATAAAATGATAATTTCCAAACTCGAGCACTCTGTCTGCATTACCAGTCGGCTTTTGGCATTCTGCTATGAGGACAAGTTCTCGATCTCCTATATTTATTTATTTGTTTATTAATTATTGGTGTGGACTCATGAATTCCTGTTTTTTCCAGTAGTTTGTAATTCGTTACTATACTTATTCTGGAGTTCAAACTGTCCCAGATTTGGACAGTGGGAGCCCCTTCAAACTGGCTCCTATGTCCTTATGACGTGCACCCCCGTCAGTTTTTTGAGCACTTTCTATTTTCTGGCACAATAAAATATTCTGGTATCATTCTGACTTTCCCTTGCTCTGGCTCTGGAATCACCCATTTTTCTAGCCCTGTTTGCTTTGGGGAGAATGGTAGTAGAGACCAAGATCTGGGCACTAGGTGTGTTCTTTCCTATTGGAGTGTCTTACTTGTTAAGATAACACTGTACCCTGTAGATTATTTTCTTTGGACTTTTAGTTACCTTCATTTTTGGAGAAGTGGTTGTTTTTGCTAAATAGACTCTTTATCCTATGGAAAAAAGTTTGTGTGTCATAAGTAAGCCTAGAAGGCAGAGCACATCACATAACAGAAGCTCGGTATTTAATTCTTGTTTTGAAAGTAGAATCATTAGATTACTAATAGTATAGGAAGAAAAGATAGGTTAGTGGAAAAGTTTTGGACATATTATCTTTACTTGGAACTATTTTGAAATGTTTTCTAGGGACATTTGCTTTTTCCCTGATATTTCTTTAACACAATTGTCCATCTGGTGATGAGTTACGACAAATGTTCCCTTACCTAGTTTTGTATTTGGTTTGTTTACTTTATTGAGATCTGCAGAAGTCATTGCTAGTACTTTGTAAAAACTTACAACACTCTTGTTTTTTTAGGCTGTCAAAAGACATAATCTGACTAAAAGATGGCTTATGAAAATCATTGATGAAAGAGTAAGTTGAAATTGCTGAAGTCTTAAGTTTTTTCTTCCTTTTTAATCCTTAAGCTAATTCTCCAGGGAGGAAATATTTTAATATGTGTATTATATTTTGGAGGAAGGAAAATTTTAGAGAACTGTGCCATTTTATCCATTCTCCACTGCATGCCGCCCACCTCAGCCCTCTGCCCCTTCACCTTGAGACAGACAGGCAGAGACAGGCACCCAGGGAGAGGCATGGGTGTGGACACCCACACTCTGCTATTTTCGTTTTTTTAAATGGAAATTTTCAGACTTATACAAAAGTAGAGAGAATAGTCTAATATATTTTGATGTATCTGTCACCCAACTTTAATAGTGATAAACATGTCCAATCTTATTTCATAAATATTCTACCAACTCCCCTCACCAAGCCCCATTGGATTATTTTAAAGTAAACCCCAGACATCATATCATTTCATCTGCAAATATATATGTATCTTGAAAAGATAAAAAATTTTTTTTTTTTTTTTAAAGGTTTTATTTATTCATTTTTTTCCCCCCAAAGCCCCAGCAGATAGTTGTATGTCATAGGTTCACATCCTTCTAGTTGCTGTACGTGGGACTCGGCCTCGCGCTGGACGGAGAAGTGGTGCCTTGGGGCGCGCCCGGGATCCGAACCCGGGCCGCCAGCATCAGAGCGCGCGCACTCAACCGCTAAGCCACAGAGCCGGCCCGATAAAAAATTTTAAAAAACATAATCACAGTATGATTATCATTGCTTAAAAAATTACAGGTAATTCCCTAATATCATCAAAACTTGAGTAGTTATACACATATCTTTATGTACACCAGTACTTGGATCTCTGTCCAAATAGTAGAGGAAACCAGGGAAGTCGGATAGTTCAAGTGAATGGAATCCTATACTAAGTTCTTTGAATTAAATTCTAGTTCCAACCAAGCGTGCACATTGCTCTATGGCCTGTGCTAACTTGTGTAATCTTTCTGACACGTTGTCGGCTCAGTGTCCTCATTGGCCTGATACTTATCACATACTGTTGCCTTGAAAATGTGAGTTTACTTAGTTTATTTGGATACAATTTATTAATAACCATAGGCTATAGTAGTAATCATATAAGCCAAAGTGAGAGATAATGACTTCAACATTTAAAAAAATTGCTCTGTTGGCCTACAGAGTTAATTATCATTAAGAAAATCTATTTTTCAGGTGTCTTCTGTTTTTATGAGGTAAAGAAAATTAGAGCACTCAAGACAAAGATATCTTATTTGTTTAGTGTTAAATAACATTTGGCATTTGTAGAGAGGGATATTTAAAAGTAAAGGACTGGGATCAATCTCCCTGCATTGATCTATAGATTCAGTGCAATCCCTATAGAACTTCCAGCTGCCTTTCTTTGCAGAAATTGGAAAGCTGATCCTAAAATTCATAATGAAATGCGAAGGACCCAGAATTGCCAAAACAGTCTTGAAAAAGAAGAACGAAGTTGGAGGACTCACATTTCCTGATTTCAAAACTTAACTACAAAGTTACAGTAATAAAATTGTGTGGTATTGGCATGGCATAGACATATAAATCAATGGAATAGAATTGAGAGTCCAGAAATAAACCCATATATTTATAGTCAATTGATTTTTGACCAGGGTGTGAAGATAATTGAGTGGGGAAAGAAGAGCCTTTTCAACAAATAATGCTGGTACAACTGGATACCCACAAGCAAAAGAATGAGTTTGGACTCCTACATCACACCATAGACAAAAACTAACTCAAAATGGATCAAAGACCTAAATGTCAGAGTTAAAACTGTAAAATTCTTCGGAGAAAACATAGGTATAAATCTTTGTAACTTTAGGTTAGGCAGTGATTTCTTAAATATGATACCAAAGGCATAGGCAATAAAAAAAAATAGATAATTGGACTTAGTCAAAATTAAAAACTTCAAGAAAGTGAAAAAACAATATAGGAAAATGGGAGAAAATGTTTGCCAGTGGTATATTTGATAAGGGACTAGTATCTAGAATATGTAAAGAACTCTTACAACTGAACAATAAAAAGACAACCCAATTTAAAAATGGGCAAACGATTTGAGTAAACATTTCTCCAAGGAGGACAAACAAATGACCAATAACCCCCTAAAAAGATACTCAGCATATTCTCACTAGGGAAATGCACATCAAAACCACAATGAGCTACCAATTCACACCATTAGGATGCTATAATAAAAAAGACAAACAATAAAAGTGTTTGTGAGGATGTGGAGAAATTGGAAACCTTCATACATCGCTGGTGGAAATGTAAAATAATGCAGCCACTTTGGAAAAACAGTTTGGCAGTTCTTCAGAAGGTTAAACATAGAGTTACCGTGGACCCAGCAAGTTCACTCCCACGTTTATGCCCAAGAGAAATGAAAACTTACATGTCCACACAACACTTGTACACAGATGTTCATAGCAGCATTGTTCATAATAGTCCAAAAGTGGGAACGACCCATAGTCTATCAGTGAATGAATAAACATCAATGTGGTATATCCATACATTGGAATATTATTAATAATTTCTCCAATTAAAAAGAATGAGGTACCGATAGATGTTCCAACATGGATGAACCTTGAAAACATGCTAATTGAAAGAAGCCAGATACAAAAAGCTACATATTGTATCATTGCATTTTTATAAAATGTCCAGAACAGACAAATCCATGGAGACAGAAAGTAGATTAGTGATTTGCCAGGGAATGAGGGGAGGGGGAAATGGGAAGTGACTGCTTAATGGATATGGGATTTCTTTTTGAGGTGATAAAAACATTCTGGAATTAGATAGTAGTGATAGTTGCACAACTTTGTGAACATACTAAAAAACACTGAATTATATATTTTAAAAGGGTAAATTTTATGGTATGTGAATTATGTCTCAATTTTTAAAAATGTAAAAGATTTGGACATATTTTTTTTCCTGGGATCATTGCTAGTGCCATTTTCTCCTGATTGGAAAAAAGGAGGCAGGGGGGTATTACCTTGGCAATAGAGTTTTTGTAAATGTATTATTATAAAAGTGGCTAGATGTTCTTGCTCTATGATTTACATTTTTCTGTTTCTCGAACATAATATGTTCGGGTAATCAACCCTGTTACTTGATTGAGCGTGGTTTCCTTTTGGGGGTGGCATCTGATTATGATCTCCTTTCTTTTTCTAGGCACGTTTTCTTTCTTAAGAGCATGGGCTTAACAGTCAAAATGTATGGATTTGAATCCTATCCCCATCATTTATTAGCTATATGACCTTAGGCATATTGCTTAATGTGCCCATGACTCAGTTTCTTCATCTGTAAAATGGAAAAAGTATTAATTCCTTGTCTTTGGAGGGCATTATTAGGATTAAGAAGATAATGTCTAAAGTGCTTAAGTAAGAGCTCAGTTAAGTCAGTTTTTCATGATAGGGCTTTAGAAGAAATTAAAAATTTAGGTGAAATTGGGGTTTAAAGGAATTAAAAATTAAGCCAACACAATGTCCATGATGTTTTGTGCATTGAGATTATTCCTGAGGTATCATTTTGAGGGGTGATTTGTAAGTATTGAATGTGTAAGACTTTAATATTTTAGTTTTATTTTAATCTTATTGTATACTAAATATATACTAAATATTTTTATTTTTTATTGAATTCTTTAGGGCAAAAAATAGTGCCATTTCTTTATAAAATATTGACAATTTAGCAAACTTTATTTGCATTTTGTTTGACTGTAGGAAAAAAATTTGGATGACAAAGCTTATCGTAATATCCAGGAACTGGAAAGTTATGCTGAAAACACACAGAGCTCTCTTCTTTATTTAACACTAGAAATACTGGGTAAGTTTTTTTTCTATTTTCTATTTCTCGTTTTCAAAGAAAATACCTTTCAGACTTCACTCTTTCATAATTTGACAATCTAACCAGTTTAACACTGAAGCTTTTCTTTGCACTGTCTATAAAGGAAAAACATTTTTTTTTTGAGCAAGAAGGAGAATATATGTCTTTCTTTGGAGTGCAGACTAATCAGAATTCTCAGGCTCTCATAAAAGTACTTGAGCTACCTCATGGGAATACTGTAATTAATAATCTGGGAATTGCAGATGATTTTACTTTTTTTTTTGAGGAAGATTAGCCCTGGGGTAACATCTGTTGCCAATCGTCCTCTTTTTTGCTGAGGAAGATTCTCCCTGGCCTAACATCTGTGCCCATTTTCCTCTACTTTATATGGCATGCTGCCACAGTATAAGCAGTGCGTAGGTCTGCTCCTGGGATCCAAACCTGCGAACCCCGGGCCACCGAAGTAGAGCGCGAGAACTTAACCACCACGGCGCTGGGCTGGCCCTAATTTTACTTTTTTATAATAGCATTTCCTACAGTTTGGAAGGCCTGTGGCCTGACTCTTCCTTCTCTGTCGATAATACTTCCCCATGTAAAAAAATTAAAAAGTGGAAGAAATAAAACTGCATTTCTAAAAGTTTTTATGAGAGTTTTCTTTTTCTTTCTTTCTTTTTTTTTTTTTTGAGGAAGATTAGCCCTGAGCTAACATCCACGCTAATCCTCCTTTTTGCTGAGGAAGACTGGCTCTGAGCTAACATCTATTGCCAATCCTCCTCCTTTTTTTTTTCCCCAAAGCCCCAGTAGATAGTTGTATGTCATAGCTGCACCTCCTTCTAGTTGCTGTATGTGGGACGCAGTCTCAGCGTGGCTGAAGAAGCGGTGCGTCGGTGCGCGCCTAGGATCCGAACCCGGGTCGCCAGTAGCAGAGCATGCGCACTTAACCACTAAGCCATGGGGCCAGCTCCTTTTTTTTTTTTAAATAAGTAATTTAGATGATATTTTTCCTCATCTGACTTTGTTCTAAGTTGGTGAGGTCTTATTGTAATGAAGAAATTATTTGGGCCAAGGGCAATACCATCTCTTATGAAGAAAGTAATATATCTTTATGTCACCCTAAAGGAGTAACACAAGTCCGTGTTGAGTTTCCCAGGCCTGTTCTGCCTGCACACTTGGTGACATGTTTGCTAGCACAATGAAAGGAGGGAGCAAAGAGCAAAATGTTTGTTAAGCATATACTTAAAATGAGGTCATATGGAAATTGCATTGAGGAGAAGAAATGGAAGACTTGTAATGTTTTTCCACATAGCTGATTAAAATTCCAAATGTGTCTTCGGTGTGCTGTAGTCTGAGGAAAACTCTTTTTTTTTTTTTTTTTTTTTGGTGAGGAAGATCAGCCCTGAGCTAACATCCGTGCCAATCCTCCTCTTTTTGCTGAGGAAGACTGGCTCTGAGCTGACATCTATTGCTAATCCTCCTCCTTTTTTTTCCCCAAAGCCCCAGTAGATAGTTGTGCATTTTTCTAGTTGCTGTACATGGGACGCCACCTCAGCATGGCCAGAGAAGCGGTGCGTCAGTGCGCGCCCAGGATCCAAACTCGGGCCGCCAGTGGCGGACCGCGTGCACTTAACCGCTAAGCCACGGGGCTGACCCCAAGAAAACTCTTTTATATAAAAGTTGAGGCCGGGCCCGTGGCTTAGAGGTTAAGTGCGTGGGTTCCGCTGCTGGCGGCCCTGGTTCGGTCCCCGGGGCGCACACGACGCGCTGCTTCTCCCGCCATGCTGAGGCCGTGTCCCACATACAGCAACTAGAAGGATGTGCAGCTATGACATACAACTATCTACTGGAGCTTTGGGGGAAAAATAAATAAATAAAATTAAAAAAAAAAAAAAAAAGTTGAGATTCAGAAACCTCTTAGTGGTAAACGGTCAACCTGTCTGTCTTTGTGCCGTTTTGCTCTCATAAATCCTGTTTTTCAGATATAAAACATAGGATAAACACCTACTTTTACATGTTTAAGTAATTTCTCCAAGCTGCTTCTATTGATTAGTTTTGCATTTAAAGAGAAAAGAGCAGCCCTGTTGTCTAATTTCTAAAATCATAGGTATAAAGGATCTCCATGCAGATCATGCCGCGAGTCACATTGGAAAAGCACAAGGCATTGTCACTTGCTTGAGAGCAACGCCGTATCATGGAAGCAGAAGAAGGGTGTTCCTTCCCATGGATATTTGTATGCTGGTAAGGCTGTCATTTGTGCCCTCTAATCATTTACCTCAGGGATATATGGGGATGTCATCTCTTGGTTCTTTGCTTAGTCTGTTCAAGTAACTGCTTTGAAACGAATGCTTATTGCTTTTTTTTTAATTGGTGTTTTAATAGTTTATAACATTGTGAAATTTTGGGTTGTACATTTTTGTTTGTCCATCACCATATACATGTCTCCCTTCACCCCTTGTGCCCACCCCCCACCCCCACTGCCCCTGGTAACCACAATACAGTTTTCTCTGTCCATGTGTTTGTTTGTATTCCACATATGAGTGAGAGCATACAGTGTTTGTCTTTCTCTTTCTGGCTTATTTCACTTAACATAATACCCTCCAGGCCCATCCATGTTGTTGCAAATGGGACGATTTTGTCTTTTTTTATGGCTGACTAGTATTCCATCGTATATTATATACCACATCTTCTTGATCCAGTCATCAGTCGGGGGACACTTGGGTTGCTTCCACTTCTTGGCTATGGTGAATAATGCTGCAATGAACGTAGGGGTGCATAAGCCTCTTTGGATTGTTGAGTTCAAGTTTGTTGGATAGATTCCAAGTAGTGGGATAGCTGGATCATAGGGTATTTCTATTTTTAATTCTTTGAGGAATCTCCATACCTCCATTTCCATAGAGGCTGTACCAACCAGTTTGCGTTCCCACCAGCTGTGTATGAGGGCTCCTGTTTCTCCATATCCTCTCCAGCATTTGTTGTTTTTTGTCTTGGTGATTATAGCCATTCTAACGGGCATGAGGTGATATCTTAGTGTTGTTTTGATTTGGAATGCTTATTGCTTTTTTGCTCAGAGTTATCAGGTCAGAATTGTGTCAGTCAGGCATCTGAGGTCTGTGGTGGAGCTGTGAGTAAGGAGTTCCAGAGGACCTCACTTGGTGTGGCTTCGTGTTGATGCCTTGCTCCCTTCCGAGCCATTACAGTAATGGTTCCTAGTGTTCACCTTAGCATGCTCTTTATTTTAAAGGGGGAAGTAATCCATTAAAAAAGAATATTGTATATGAAAACTTGGTTTTCTGTATGAGATTCATTATTGTCTGTTCTTTTAAATTTGTTTATTGTCTTGCTTTTATATTTTTGTCCTACCTACAACTGTTGTTAATTAACATCTTGTTGCATATTCTTCCAGAAGTGTGCATGTATATGTGTGTCTGTGTATTCACACACACACATATTTGTACACATACATATATTTTTAAAAATAAAATAGGCATTATACTGTTCTATCACCTGTTTTCTTGAGCTAAGTTAGTTTTAACTGTGCTTTTCCATTCCTAATATAATGTATATTTCCCCACACAGCATGGTGTTTCACAAGAGGATTTTCTACGGAAGAATCAAGATAAAAATGTGAGAGATGTGGTATATGATATTGCCAGCCAGGCACACTTGCACCTAAAGCATGTAAGTAGCCTCTTTTTGCCAAATCGTTTAGGAAACTATCATTTCTAGATGTGGCTATTCTTAGAGCATTGTTATAGTATTCCCTACTTGGTAGTCCGTATTCCATCTCTCGTTGAAATCCCTGTAGATTTATCTCAGGGACTACTGTAAAGTTTCCACTTTTTAAAAATCCCCCTTTTTCTCTCTCAGCAGATGTATATACCCTTTACTGAGTCAATCAAGCCTGAGCTTCCTGAGCTAGGCTCCCTCTGATCCATCCGCTCACCATTTGTCTGTCTCTCAGGGGACAGTGTGTCTTTCTGCCTTGCCAAGGCCGATGCCTCTCCTACCTCCTCTAAGACCTTGCATACTCAGCAGTCCCCAGATGGTGTTTTCAGCCTCTCTGATAACTTGCCCCTTTTATCTTCTGGTTTGTTGCTACTGCCTTTTGAAGTTACGGGCAGCACATGGACTCTTCTGTTTCTTATTTTTCCCTCCCAACTGACCTTTTTTGAATAAGTGGTCTGCATTCTTTATTACTTCAAGGCCCTCGCCACCCTGGTACTGTTCATTGTGCTATAATTTAGCTTCCATCCTGCCTACTCTAATAATAATCGCTAGTAAATAATCTCCTTATTGCCACATTTAAAGAGTGTCTGATTTACAGAGGGTAGATGTTTATATATGTGTATATATGTATGTGTATGTTATACATATAGACATATATATCCACATTCACACACACACACACATAACAGAGGTAGAATCAACTAGACATGATAACTGGATTATAGCAGAATCAGGAAGAGGGAAAGTTGAAGACTGCACAGAGTACAAGTATAGATGGTGCCATTCAGAGACTACAGTGAAAAAGCAGTGGTATGCAAGGTGCTGATCAGTAGACTTTGGACTAGCTGCTGGACATTGAATTTAAGGGGGTTAGAGGACATTCAGGGAGATGGACTATTGAAGAAAGCCGAATTGTGACTTTGGAAGGAGGTCAGAACTGGAGATATGGATTTGGGAGTCATCCATGTAGAAGGCTTATGGTTAAAGCTCTAAGTTTGGATGCTGTTGCCCAAGGAGAATGTACATTTAGACAAGAGGATGAAGGGCAGAACCTCAAGGCCCACCTCCATTTCTCAAGTAGAAGGAGAAAGGGCCATTTATTAGGAAGAAGGAAAGAGTGATCAAAGAAGTAGGAGCACTGAGTCACTGTCTTGGAAACCAAGGGAGGGGAAAATTCCAGGACAGGGGAATGTTCAAGTTTTGCATGCCACAGAGAGATTGAAGAAAAAAGATGGGTATGATTATTAGTAAATCGTGGATGATCTTGAGAGCAGTTTTAGTAGACGGCGGTAAAACCACCGTGTAGTGGGTTAAGAAGTGAGTCAGTAAGTAGAGGCGGCATCTGACAATATAAACGAAGACCTGGAGACAGGAGTGGGCTTGGTGAATGCAGTGTGATGGGCATCAGCCTGACGGGGCATTAGGGCTTCACAGTCTAGAGAGGTAGGGAGTTAGGTTGGATAGATGAGGTTAGAGTCAAGATGTGGAGGCCTTGGAATTCCAAGATGAATAGTTGAGACTTGATCTATCAGGGAGTTAAGTTAAAGTAAAAATAAAACAATGACTTAAGGACATTAATTTGGCTGGCCACGTGGATTGAATTAAAGGCTGGGGAACACAGAGGCAGGAAGATCAGCCAGGAGGATCTTAAATTCATGTAAACAGGAGATGAATGACGATCTCAGCTGGGGAGGTGCTGGGATTCTCAATGCAAGTTATTTCTTCATTTACCCCTTACCACAGATCCAGAGGGTCGAAGGTATAAGATGTTATAAGGTAGAAAATGCCAAAGCCAATCTGTAAAAAGAATGGAATTGTTAATATAGAACTTTTTCCTGAGTCCTTTAGGGTTAGGAAGTTAATCTTAACCGGCAGGAGACAAGAGCTATTTTCTTGCTTTGGAAGAGCTATTTTCTTGCTTTCTCTGCTTTTTATTAAACTGTTATTAAACTGCTGGTGTTGCTGTGTGTTCACTTTCAGAGGGAGAGTGTTTGTTTCCAGAAATATTTATATTTCAAACCAGTTTCCTTTTGTCTTCGTTTTCAGGCGCGGTCCTTTCACAAAAGTGTTCCTGTGAAAGCATTTCCTGCCTTTCTTCAGACGGTAAGTAGATTAACAGAGAAGGCTGTTTAATTAATGAAGCAGATGTGTGTGATCTCTTGTTCTATTTTATAAGGTTCCCAGTGCAGTTCTTTAGTGTGGAGTCTTGTTTTTGTTTCCCTCCCTTAGGGTGGGTTTTGTTAGTTACATTCTTCTTTTGGTGATGGTCATGCCTGTACGTCCCAGAGGCAGGTGAGTGGAGTCGTCACTAGCACTGACTGCAGCTAGGCTGCATTGGTTTGAATCTGCTTTGTCACTTACTAGCCATGGAACCCTAAGTTCCTTAACCACTGTGTTCCTCAGTTTACTCATAGATAAAATGGGTATCATAGGAGAAACTACCTTATAGGATTGTTAGGCTACTTATAGCTATGTAAGTATTACTTATTATTCTATTAATTTTTTTCTGTATCATGACCATATTGTAGCATTGGTTCCTGAATACTCATTCACAGACCAATGGAATAACCTGGAAAACTTTTAAAAAATACAGATTCTTACTAAATAAGACTCTTGTGATTGAGGAGGGGGCCGTTCCTAGGAGAATCTGTGATTTTAAAAAGTTTCCCAGATGATTCTGATGTGTAGCCAGGTTTGGGAACCATTGTTGTAAAATACATAAAGAAATGAGAATAGCTTCCAATTATTTAGCACCTATTATGGACAGGCTCTGAGCTAGGTCATTTTCTACATTATTCCTAGTCATCTTAGGCACGATTTATTTCATTTTATAGATAGAAACCGAAGTTCAAAGATTTGTGATCTTTGAAAATTGAAAACTCATGCATTTTCTACAATACCAAATATATCTTCTTTTTCCCTAAAATACATTTCAAGATTTGTTTGTCCCTTCACAGCTTCTATCCTAGGTGTCTCAGATCTGAGTGTTTGAAATCATTTTGTTTCTTGGGCCGGCCCCGTGGTTTAGCAGTTAAGTGCACGCACTCCACTGCTGGCGGCCCGGGTTTGGATCCCGGGTGCGCACCGACGCATCGCTCCTCGGGACGTGCTGAGGCCGCGTCCCACATACAGCAACTAGAAGGATGTGCAGCTATGACATACAACTATCTACTGGGGCTTTGGGGGAAAAAATAAAAAAAATCTTAAAAAAAAAAAAGAAATCATTTTGTTTCTTAACTAGGTTTACTTATTATAAAAGTAATATATTAATATTTTAGATATTCACTTAATATAAGAGGAGGCAAAAGAAGAAATTAGAATCCTCTCACAATTCCATCCTTTATAGAGATAATGTCTGTTCATCTTTCTGGACTTTATATGTTCATATAATTACATATGTGTTTTTTGTATAAATGGGGTGTCAAGCATCTCTTTCTATGCCAACATGTATTGTTCTGTATCACCGTTTTTAATGGTTATTTGGTCTTAATGGTTATTTGGTGATGTACCATCAGCTGTTTTAACTTACTCTCTAAGTTAAGCTCCGTGAAGGTTAAGGACTTTGTTTTGTTCACTTCTAAAGATTTTATTTATTTATTTTTTCCCCCAAAGCCCCAGTAGATAGTTGTGTGTCATAGCTGCACATCCTTCTAGTTGCTGTATGTGGGACGCGGCCTCAGCATGGCCGGAGAAGCAGCGCGTCGGTGCGAGCCCGGGATCTGAACCCGGGTCGCCAGCAGTGGAGCGCGCGCACTTAACCACCAAGCCACGGGGCCGGCCCTGTTTTGTTCACTTCTGTAAAAAAGGTTGTTCTCAGCTCTGGATGCCCATTAAAATCACTTGGGGAGCTTAAAAACAAAAAAACCTAAAACAGTGTTGGGCCCCTCCCCAAACCAATTAAATCACAGTATCTAAGAGGTTGGATCCAGGATTGATACTTTTAAAAAGCTCCCCCAGGATTGTGAAGTGCAGCTGGGCCTGAGAACCGCTGTCTTAGACTAGTGGTTCTCACGGTGTGGTCCCTGGACCAGCAGTATCTGCCTCACTTCGGAACTTGTTAGAAATGCAGATCTTGGGCCCCACTGCAGACCTACTGAATCAGAAACTCTTGAGGCTGGAGCCCAGCTCTCAGTTTCCGTCCTGTGCCATGAGAAACTGGAGGGAGTATATACCAATTCCTGAGGGACTGCTTCTAGCGTACACCTTCATTCCAGCTGGGGCACATCTCTTCTTAGTTGTTCTATATACGGGGCATCTGTTAATTATTTTGTTCAAAGAAAAGGTTTTGCTGTTTAAAAACTATTTGAAAATGACTAGTCTGTAGTATGTTCTCTATAGATGAGGTTTTAAGAAGCCATATTCAGAAATTGTAATGTCTGAGAATTTCACAACGAATTTGTTACCTCGAACAGTTTATTTACCATTAGCCAAACTTTCCTTTGAACCAAATTTGTGAATGTCCAGTTGAACTCTAATTTTGAGGTCACATTTTATCTGTATTTTAATGGAGTTTTCTCCTAATTATAACAGCAATACATTCTCAGAGATTTGGACAATATAAAAAGAATATTAGAAGAAAATAACAATCACCTGTAATTCCAAAACCCAGAGAGAGATGCTATTTATTCTGTTCTTTTTTTTTTTAATTTTTTTTTTATTTATTCATTTTTTTTTCCCCCAAAGCCCCAGTAGATAGTTGTATGTCATAGCTGCACATCCTTCTAGTTGCTGTATGTGGGACACGGCCTCAGCATGGCCGGACAAGCGGTGTGTCGGTGCTCGCCCGGGATCCGAACCCGGGCTGCCAGCAGCAGAGCGCACGCACTTCAACGCTGAGCCACGGGGCCGGCCCTCTTCTTTTTTTTTTTTTATAATTTTATTTATTTGTTTATTTTTTCCCCCAAAGCCCCAGTAGGTAGTTGTATGTCATAGCTGCACATCCTTCTAATTGCTGTATGTGGGACGCGGCCTCAGCATGGCCGGACAAGCAGTGCCTCGGTGCGCGCCCGGGATCCGAACCTGGGCTGCCAGCAGCGGAGCGTGTGCACTTAATCGCTAAGCCACGGGGCCGGCCCTATTCTGTTCTTTTTTTAATGAATTTTTTTATGCAGTTGAAATCACACTTTATATGTCAGTGTCCTACTTATCAAGCATTTAACCACATCATTAAAAATATCTATAAATACAGTATTTAATGGCTGTATAATATTCTATCCTGTCCCTGTACCTTAATTTCATTAACTATTCCTTAAAATTGGATATTATAAAACTACTAAAATGAACATAATAGAATTCTTAGAGATGGAAAGTTGATCACAAAAAAAAGCAGGTTACACGGGGCCGGCCCTGTGGCTTAGCGGTGAAGTGCGCACGCTCTGCTACTGGCGGCCTGGGTTCAGATCCTGGGCGCGCACTGATGCACCGCTTGTCAGGCCATGCTGTGGCGGCGTCCCACATAAAGTGGAGGAAGGTGGGCACAGAAGTTAGCCCAGGGCCAGTCTTCCTCAGCAAAAAGAGGAGGATTGGCATGGATGTTAGCTCAGGGCTGATCTTCCTCACAAAAAAAAAAAAAGCAGGTTACAGAACATGATGAATAATAACACAAGCTCTTTTTTCCACAAAAAAAGGAGAGAGAACACTAAAATATCTTCAAAATTTTTTTCTTTTATTTCTTTTAAAATGTTTAATATTTGTTATCTATAAATGAATATATCTATATATGTATGCATGTATTATAAAGCATAACATAATGAAGACCCATGAACTCACCACTCAATCCAGGAACTAGAATGTCACCATTAAATTGCACTCAGGTGTTTTCCTCATCTCATCCCCTTGCCTCTGCCTTCCTCCTCCAAGAAGCTGTCCTGAATTTTGTATTTATTATTCTCTTGCTTTTATTCCAAAAAAGCTTTTCCCCATTCTATGTATTCCTAAACAATATGTTGCTTAGTTTTGTTTTTGAGCTTTATAAAAATGGACCAATTTCTGTTTATATCTTCTTGGTTCTGCGTGCACACATACACACACGTTTCTAAGATTTATCCATATTATTGCATCTAGCTATAGCACAGTCATTTCACTGCAGCATAATATTTCATTATGTGAACAGTTTATCTTTTTTTGGTCAAAGAAAACTTCTGGGTTGTTTCCAGGTTTTTTGCTAATATGACACAAGGCAGCTGTGCACATTCGTGCACATATCTCCTGTTGTACATATTTATAAGTTCAGGGTTTAAAAAGTGGATACTGAATTTGTTTGTATGTACACTCATCTGTTTATAAGTGTATAGAAAAAGAAGTCTGGGAGAAAATACAATCCTTTTTGTTTTCTTTTTGCTCATCTGTATATTCTAGAGAATCCATAAGCATGATTTCTGTTGGATTCACAGGTTGTGCTGCAGAACTCTAGGGGGAGCTGTGCACCTGGACTGAGAAGGGAGTGGTGCCTCTTAGAATTGTGCAGTGCAAAACCACTGGTTTCTCTGCTTAATGAAAAAGTTACTGAAATAAAATAAAAATTTATAAATTAATAAAAATAACTGAAAACTGTAAAATAAAGAGCACTGCCCATCGCAGTGTTTTCCATCCTGCCCCATCCCAATGAAAGCTTTATCAAGTTTTGTGTGATGGGGGAAGCGTGGGATGACATTTATAGGGATCTGTGATTGTTCTCCTTGCTTGTAAAATCTTTTCTAGCAAGAAGATGGAGACCCATTAAACTTTTTTACAAAATAATTTTTTAAATAAACCGCTTGAGCTCCCCCTCATGGCACAATGCATTTCTTTGGGCAGGGAGTAGTGGTGGTGTTCATTTTCCTTGATTGAAACACCACTTTTGTATTCTACAGAATCTAGTAATAAGACCGGGCAAACAATAATTTCTCTAATCTTTCACATTTTGACCAGAACACTATAAATTATGATCAGAGTTGCCTTGATATTTCTAGTAATAGCTTTATGATCCTGTTTTACTGGCCTAATAGAAACTTCTTAGAAGATGTCTTTATTTTCTCTCTCCCTTTTAAAATTCTCATTTCAAGTCTTAGTATGGGGGCCGGCCTGGTGGCGCAACAGTTAAGTTCGCGCATTCTGCTTCGGTGGCCTGGGGTTCACAGGTTCGGATCCTGGGCATGGACCTACTCACCACTCATCAAGCCATGTTGAGGCAGCATCCCACATAGGAGAACTAGAAGGACCTACAACTAGGATATACAACTGTGTACTGGGGCTTTGGGGGGAAAAAAGAGGAAGATTGGCAACAGATGTTAGCTCAGGGCCATTCTTCTTATAAATAAATAGGTAGATAGATAGATAGATAGATAAATTCTTAGTATGTAGAAGACCATTGTAGAGAAACTAAAATAGCCTTAATACTTGTTACTTTTCTTTAGTTTCTTTTAAAGACTTAATCATTCTATGATCTAGTGACCATTGTTCTCTTTTTCCAGGTTGCTCTGGAGGACTATTTAAAGAAAATTCAACAAGTGGATTTTGATATATTCCACCCATCTTTACAGCAAAAGAATACATTACTTCCATTATCTTTGTATATTCGGTCATGGAGAAAAAGATATTAAAATTATGGTACTGGTTTTAATTTACTTTTATTTGTTTTACAAAAGTATACTAGTTAGGGTTCTTGTTTACAAACAATAGGAACTGACTCTCTTAAGGAGAAAACGAATGTATTGGATGGATGTGTGTAGCTCACAGAGTTGATGAGAAGTTGCTCTGGGGCTAGGGTGCCAAGACACTGCCAAGATTCTGCCTCAGGCACTGCCATTGTCACCACCAGCCCACACAGTGCCTGCTGTGCCATCCCTGTAAAGTTGGAGCCCCAGGAGGGAGCATCGGTTTAGCTCTGCTTAGGCTGCAGGCCATGCTTCAGCCACCAGAGGGCAGGGAGAAGGAATGTCTCCTTCCTTCTTCACTCTTGGAGAAGAAGGGGGAAAGGGCTCAAGAAGTGCTGGGTTAGCACACTGAGCAGCCAGAACTCAGGTATCTATTACAGCTGGGTCACAAAGAGTGACGTTAATATTTGAGGAGTGTCAGTCATTATGTTGAGGGCTTTATATTCCTAACATTTAATCTTTACGACTCTATGGAAGTGTATCCATGATGATTACTTCTTTAAGATAAGACGGCTGGCAAGAGTTGGAATCCTAATTTGACTTGAGGTTTGGCTGATTCGAAAGCTTTTACTTTTTTGTTAACCCCACAGCTTTCCTCTCTGTCATTCAATATTATTATGATCGTGAACAAAATTGTATTAACAAAATGTGTATTAATGTAAATTATATTATGAAAATTGTAGTGAATATTCATTAAGGGGATAGTATATTTTTAAAAACTAGTGCACTATTTGAGCTTCCTAGTGATAAACTCTGTGCTGTATACTTTCTCCAGTGTTCTCATTTGATCTTTAAAACTCTATGAAATAAGGAATTTTTTTGGTAATTAAAAAATTTAAATTATAAAATACATACTAATTGCAAAAAACCCCAAAATTGTTTGCCTTGCTGCTAATTGGCAGATCTGGACTCTGCACGGATCTCCGCCTCCCAAGACCAGGATTATGCTACAGTTTCCTTTTCCTGCCTTTTCAGTGGTCTTGTCTCCTGCCCACTACCACCTCTGGTGTACTGTTCTCTATCCTATCTCTCTTAAGCCTTTGGTTGCAGCTATGAATTAGTGCCTAGATCAATTGTGACTTAGTGATGGCTTAAAATACTACATTTTTGCGAATAAAACTCAAAGTGAGGGCAAGAATACATTGTTTTTTTTCATCTAGGGATCCCCCAGCATCTAGAATGGCTTCTGATTTAGAGTGAGTAGAGATTAATAAACGAGAGATTAATAAATGTATAATTGAATGAATGTGCAATGTGGTTGTATATGTTAGCATACTCTTAGTTGATAACTGATGCTGAAAGAATATCCTCTTGTTTAATTCTGTGGCTTTAGAAAGGCTTTTAGCTTATCTGAAAAAGGCAAGTACAAGGAAATGGGACACATTTCCTCTTGGGATTCTGAATGATCCGGGGTTGAAGAGTTCATTAGAGACAGTCTTTGTTAGTAATAAGAATTGTCTGTGGGTCTTCCGAGGTTAAATTTGGCAGCAATCAGCTGCTAAGCATCTTGGTTGCTATCTCAGGGTCTTAAAGAGTTTAAACACTCGACTGGATTACTGCATTCTTTACTGGCTCAGAAACCAATTTACTATTAAGTAAATAATTTCAAAATACTTTCTAAGCCATTTTAAATTTGATGCTTTAGAGATTTGGATGAACTGAAGTTTCCAGTCTCACAGATATTAAGATGAGATTTTATTCAGAGACAGTTACTGTACTATTCACTTCCTGGCATAAAAGATACTCCCTTAGATGGTGCCAACATTCTTTTTCATTTTTCAAACCTGTTTTTTTATTAGAGCATTTTAAAGGAGTCAGATATATTTTCAAACCATTTAAGATATATTTTGATATGAATGGGTGGAAAGTAACAGATAACAAATGTTAGATATAAATTACAGATTAATCTCAATGTAGGTAAAGTTGCATATCATTATAAAATATGTTTTGGATAGTTCCCAATCAACTGGCAAGATTCTTTCTGTCCATTTGGTTAAATCTCCCTTTTGATGAAATTAAATTACTCTTAAGAAATATAACATCAGCTAACACTTATTGAGCATGAACTTGGATAGGTGGTATGCTCTGCACATTAATCTTCACAGAGAAGTAGGTCTTCATTTTCCACATGATAAAACAGCCTCAAAGATGTTAAGTTCAAGGTCACACAGCCATTAGAACTAGAGCTGGATGCCAAACCCACATTACTTCAACCCCAAAGCCCACAACCCATGTATTTTTACCATTCTTGAGATTGTAAAATAAATTGCCAAGTTTAAAAGCCCAAGGGCACAACTTTTTTCATAAGTAAGTATTACTGCATAAATTTTAGGTACAAACTAGGTAAGAAAAGTATAGTTACTATATAAATTCCAACTACAAATTAGATGAGAGAGAAATAGGCAACTGAAATAGATATTAAGTGCTGGTCACTGGGTATATTCATGAAGGGCGTGTCACCACTTTTGAGGTCGAAGAATGTTTCCCAGAGGAGGTAGACTGTGAGGAGTGGCAGGAAGGTTGGGTAGGAGCCAGGGTTGGGGAGGGGTGTAGATATTGTGGGGAAGGTCCTGGCTGAGGGAGCGTGTGAACAAAGGCCAGGAGGCAGAATGGATAGTCTATGTCAAGACTTAATTTTTTGGTTTTAACTTATGTAAAAAGAACAGACAGAATGTAATGTCCAGAGTTCTTAGGAAAGTTTGTGAATAAAAAGTGGCCACATTCCCTGGTCTAGTGAAACATCTTGAATTAAGATCAAAGACTTGAGAGTTTATATTTTGCCATTTCAGCAAATCCCTAGATTCCCTTGGGTGTGTTTTAGGTCATATAAGTAGGACTTCTCTGAAGACACTGGCCTGATCGATTGCCTTGTCCAGAAAGACCTACAGAGTTATAAATATTATGCAGATGGTTATTGAAAACATAACAAAACATTATCCTTGTTTTGGAGAATAAACATTGTAACATTGTTACCTGTAAGGAGGACTGAGCCAGAAACCACATACGCCCAGAACTGGGAAGGATATCAGAGGGGAGAGGAGTTGGGGGAGTGACTGTGAGAATACATTAAATAACTTGGACGCTTCACTCTACCTGCATTTTCCTATAATGAACATGTATTTCTTAGGTAACTGCCAAGTTATTTCTTAAAAATTAGGACCCTTTGAATGAGAAAGATAGTGGTAGGCAGGGACTGGGATTAAATTTGTGAATAATGAATAGATGGATGGGCCTGAATTTTTCCATCAAATCTGTATATATCAGTGAAAACAGTATTCAGCAACAAAAAGGAATAATGTTTGGTGCAGATGACTAAATATGTAATTCATTCTGTAGTATAAGCTGAATAAAGCAATTTTAACAGTTTAGATACAGAGCAGTAGAATATAGTGCTATGAAGTACTTCTCTTAAGAGTGTGGGCTCTGGAGGAGCCTCACTGCCCGGATGCAAACCCCAGTTCCACCACCCCACTAGCTGGGTTACCTCAGCAAGTTATGTGAACTCGCCCATGCCTTAGGTTCTCCATTTGTAAAATCGGCAAAATCGTAATACCAACCTCAATGGTTGTTGTGAGGAGTAAGTGAGTTAATATATGTCAAGTGCCTAGAACAGTGACCTACTTGTAGTAAATGATAAATATTGTTGTTAATATACAAACTGGCAGCCTGAACCAAATGAGGCCTGCAGGCACATTTTGTTTTGCAGGCATAGCATTTGAAAAAGAAGGAGAAATGGAATGCCTTTAGACAGATCCTGTCCTCGCCACTTGGCCAGAGGTCCCGGCATGAGCTACCATCTCACACCCAGCCTGATTCATACACTCATGTTACCTGCTTACTCCTTGGGCACTTGAGTTTGTGACCAGTGGTTTAGAAGAATTTGTGGACGGTGGATTAATAACAAGTGATCGCCAGCTCGAGACTGGCTTCACAAAGCATAGCTGTGCTTTCTCCCCAAAAGCCGACTGCATTTTAACTATTGTTTATGCGTCTGTCCCTCACTTAGCCATGTTCTCTGAGTGCAAGACAGTGTTTTATTCTTCTTCGTATCCTCAGAAACTGCCATAGAGCCTGATGCTGCTCCATAAATCTTTGTGGTCTGAATGAACGTGCCGTAGTACAAGGTGGGGTAGTGGGTTCTCAGGAAATGTTAGTGGGTTGGGGCTGATATGTGAAGGACGAACTGGAAGTGTGTGTCAAAGATGTGGTGGCTGGGCAGTGCATGTGTTGTTCAAGAAACTAGGTTGTCCACAGGAAAATAACATTTTTTTTTTCTTTTTTGTGAATCTAAATAAGGTGATGGATGTTAACTGAACTTATTGTGGTAATCATTTCACAATATATGTTAAGTCAAGACCTGCTGTACACTTTAAATGTATACAGTGCTGTACAGCAATTATATCAATAAAACGGAAAGAAAAAAAGAAACTAGGTTGTTGGTTATGATTGGAAAGCAGGGTGTGAGGAAGGAAAAGTGAGGCTGGAAAGATAAATCGTAGATATATTAAGGTGTTTGGATGTTAAGAATGGCATGAAATTTGAAAATAAATACCTCACAAATGTTCCATAACACATAATTTGTGTATATGCTCGTGGATATTATTGGCATTTTTTCTAGTGTGATCATATCTTTAGATAAGCAGTACCTTTTGAATCAGATGTGAGATAGAATGTTTTATTCTTATTTGATAAATCTGTGGGTTGACTTTTTATTAGCCTATACAAATACTGTTTTCCTTCTGAGTTACCGTTTTCTCATTAAACAGTCCTGCCTTGGTGCACTGTGTGTTTTCCCTTTTATTTTTAATCACGATTAATTTTTCCAGCTGCTTAGTTATATAATAATATCCTGTGTGTTTAAACACAAGCCTACAGATTGAATTTCTCAGAGTGTTCTCTCTCAAGAGGTTTTTAACACCACAAGATCTTTTTTATGGGTGCTACAAAGATTCTTTAGGAACTCAACATTAATGATTTGAAAAGCTATTTCACTATATCTTATATTCATTTCTTGTTGCAGTGGTTTTATCCTATGCTAATCTTCTAAGTTTAATAAGTTGAGAAAGTTCTCACTTCAATTAATCAACATAAAGACACCTCCTCCACGGCTTTCTTGCAAGCTATTCCATGTGGTTGTTAGAAATAGATTTGTTTGAATCTTGGTTTTGGGGGAATGTATACTACACTCTTTCCTGAGAGATCATTTTAAAAAAATTGTGTTTATTTTCTTTTTATACGAGTAACTTACACGTGCTTATTGCAGAAATCTTGGGGGAAAAATACCGAAGTATAAAAGAAAAATACTTTTTAAATCAACCATAATTTTAGCAAGTAAGAGATAGCCACCATTAACATTTTGGTCTATATCCTTCCAATTCTTTCCTTGGCATACATATAATATACAAAATTGATATATTGTATATAGTTTTTTTGTCTGCATTTTAGCTTAGTAATACAATGTGAAAAAGATCATATTAGAAAAATATTCTTGGTAATTTTTATTCTATGGAACAATTTAGTGGGATGTT